TTTGTTTGGTTTCTATGAAAAAAACACAGCAACCCCATGCTTTGTTTCTCCTTTTCTTTAATCGAAAATAGATGCTTTCAATTCCCCTCCATCTCTTTATCTTCCTCTCATTTTCTTCAATTGCTTCTCTTCCAGTAGACTCCTAACCCACCCAATGTGATTTTCCTTCTCTGTTACTGATATACGTTTCCCGTGTTTTGTGCGTTTCCTGTGCTTTGTGGGCGTGATGTGTGTGCGTTGATGATGATGCACAATGATGTGTGCGTCGATGATGAAAGGGGAGTTGATTTCGGTAGAAATCTTGACTATGAAATACTCGTTGACGTTAATAATGCTACACAATAGGAATTGGTTTGGGTATAAATAGACATTGGTTCCTTATTAGTGGTTAACCAAGTATTAATTGAAATAAGGCATTAATGAACAATTGATGATGCTGCATAGTAATTGTTCAAGAATTGATTTGGGTAGAAATATTAGATAGTGAAATATTATGTGCATTGATGATGATGATTATACACAGTTATAAAAAAACTAAAATGGTTTCGGTAGAAAACTTGAGTTTGTTAATATTTTTATATAGAATTCATTAATAAATTATTGTATTGTTTGTTATGGGATACAAAATTTATTATATAATTATTTCCTTTAAGGCATTGTTTATGTTGGGAATTAGTTTCTTTGCTCATAATTTTGAGCATAATTTATTGTATTGATTATGTAAGTATCTTATATGTTTTTTTAATAATTATTTCCCTAAATTCTTAGGTTTTGTTAGCAGAAAATTTCACTTTTTTGTTATGGATAGTAAGATTATTCATGCAGCATGTATGAGAGCAGTTGTAACTATGATAGCTACAGGGGTAGCTATTATTAAACAAGAAATAAATAGAAATTATATACCAAGAGAACCATGTATAAATACAATTGCTCAACGAGAATTCTATATGGATAACATTTTGAATCAAGGTGATAGACATTGCGTTGAACAAATTCATATGAAACCAGTTGTCTTAAATAAATTGTGTGATGTTCTCACAAGTCATGATCTATTACTATCAACTCAAAATATATCTATTAGGGAGCAAGTAATTGTGTTCTTACAAATTGCAGGCCAAAACCAAAGATTTTGTTTTATTAGTGGTATATACTATAGGTCTGTTGAAACTATCCATCGTTACTTTATAATTGTCTTAAAAGCAGTTTTTAAGTTATACAAATACCTAATTAAAGACCTAGGCGATACAGTTCCAGCAAAGATAATAAATCATCGAAGATTCTATCCTTATTTTAAGGTATGAAAACAAAACCAATATTTTTATGAATTAATTGATTATATTCAGAAGAAAAGGTTATAAATTATTTTTTCATTTTTATATAGGATTGTGTGGGAGCAATTGATGGTACCCATGTTCCTGCAAATATTCCTATTGAGATTCAAGGAAAGTTTCAAGGTCGAAAAGAAGAAATAACATAAAATGTTTTAGCAGCTATAATTTTTTATTTGAAGTTTATATATATTTTAGCTGGCTGGGAAAGAAGTACACATGATTCATGGGTTTTAGGTGATGCAATATCAAGACTTAGTGGTCTAAAAATTCCAGAAGGTATATAATAAAGTATGTATTATATGTAATAAACATATAAAGTGTCTTATTACATAAAGATAATAATAGGTTTTTTAAAAAAAATTTGTAGGGAAATATTATCTTGGTGATACTGGTTACGACATTCAAAAAGGAATCATTTCTCCTTTTCATGGAGTTCAATATCACTTGAACGAATTTACAGAACATTCACCAGAAAATAAAAAGGGGTTATTTAATCTTCGACACTCTTATTTGAGAACTGCTATTGAGTGAGTGTTTTGTATTTTGAAGAGTCGTTTTAGATCAATTGATGAAAAATGTTTTTGGTCTTATGAAACACAAGTAGATGTTGTGCTTGCATGTTGTATTATTCATAATTACATTATGGGCGTTGATCCAAATGACTTTCTTATGGAAGAAATATGTTTGGAAAGTGAACCAATTAGACAAACAATCAACTTAAGTCAACCGGAGGAGAGGAAAGAGAATAGGGAGTGGATAACAAAAAGAGAAATAATTGCATCAACCATGTGGAATGATTATAACACTCAAAGAAACAAGTAATTGAGTGAACAAGTAATTGAGTGTTAATTATATGTGTTTGTTTTGATTATGTCTTGCTTGAGTTTGTATTATCTTTGTTGTATATTTGGATTGTTTGTTGACTTTATTATAATTTCTTATGTATTTTATGAATTCTCTTTTAAATATTAATTGTAGTTTTTATATTTAATTTATTAAATCTAAATATTATATGATATATTTTGTATAAATTTATAACTTTTTTTTTTTATAGAAATGAGTACCACACAGAATGAAAAATGTAAGGGCAACACTTTACATGGTCTAAGCCTATGTCTCACATGCTACTGGAGATATTAGCTGAGGAGGAACTTAAAGGAAACAAGCCTTCTTCCACTTTTAAAGCACAATCTTTTGTTAAGGTGGCTACAGAAATTAGTTAAAAGTTCAATGTTCAATGCGAGCCTAAGTATATTGAAAATCATCTCAAAATTGTGAAAAAAGAATGGAGAATAATAACGAAGCTTAGAAATAAAAGTGGCTTGGGTTGGGATGATTGTTTGAAGATGATTACAGTTTCGAAAGATGTTTATGATGAAGAAGTGAAGGTATGATAAATATTATACTCTTTGTAATTTTTATATTTACTTTTGTTTTAAAAATGTTATACAAGGAACTAAAAAATTTCATATTCTAAATTTTATGAACATGCACATCCCAATCATAACAAGTATCTCAACAAAAAACTTTATATGTACGAGGCAATGACAATTGTTGTTGGAAAAGATATGGCAACCGGAAATTATGCCAAATCATATGCTGATGTCAACTTGGAAGAGAACACTGAACAACAATCAATTTCAATTAAAAATGAAGGGGAATATGAAGAAACTTCAAAAGGAAAAAAGACATCTTCCTCTAGTACACAAAAAAGCAGTATAAGAAGAGAAATTGCATGTATAAAAATGATAGTGTTGAAAAGTTGTTTAAAAAGATTGGAGATGTAGCATTTGCAATCTAAACCCTCAACAAAAATCAACTTGATGTTAATGAGCTATATATAGTAGTGATGAAAATTAAAGGTTTTGATGAGATCACTCTTGGGGATGCATTTGATCACTTGGTCCAGCATGAAATGTTGGCAAAAATATTTATGGTAAAAAATGCTAATTTAAAAAAAATTTAGGTTCAGAATTTTGTGAACCAACGCAGCTACAAGCCTGATTGCTAAGATGATTTTACTATGATAAAAAAAAGTTTATGATTGTTATTTGACAAGTATGTTTACTTGTTTAATTCGGTCTAGCATATTTATGTTTATTAATTTGAACTAATATGTTTGAGTATTACATTAAAACATAATATTTATGTATGACTATGTTTGATGTAAAATATTTATATTTATTTTTTAATACTTATTTGATATATATATTAAAGGGATATTATACAGATAATTGCCTATAGCCGTAAAAAAAAAACAATCTTTATCCAAAAAAATCTATCAAAATATTTTTGTATTTATTTAATTTTTTAAAAAATCTTCATACCAAAAAACTCAAATACCTAACTCTTACATAATATAATAAACTAATTTGGCTTTCTTCGTATGAAAAAAAAAACATATTTTAAGCTTTTAAAATTGGAAAAAAATTTAATAGGTTTTATTTATGAAAAATTTCACAAGATTATATCTGTATAGTATTATATGACATATATAGTTATATTTTATAAAATAAACTATATATAAATATAAGATATAATAAAAAAAATCATCATTACACTTTTTAGATTTTATTTTTTTATTGTAAGTGATTAAATATTTATATTAAATATTTTTGATATGTTAGATAAATTTGAAAAAAAATAATTCATTAATAAATTATTTTTCAGTTCATTTTTCATAACATAACCAAATTTTTCATAACATAACCAAAGACTTTCAGTTCATTTTTCATAACATAACCAAAGATTGAAAAATATTTTCCAGTTTATTTTCTATAACACTATCAAATATTAAAATATAATTTATTTTTCAAAAATTTATTTTTTTAAAAGCTACTTTAAAAAAAATCATTTTCCTACAAATAAATGAGCCGAATAGAACCTAAAGTGAAAAAATTACTGTAATCATACCATAATAGTGAAACAATGAATTTGCCTAAAAAAAATCATATGAAGTTGTCTTTAGGGGTAAAATAGTTTTATTTCAATGTTCATATCTCATTTTAAAATTAGGTGGGGGTATATTAATCTTTTCTTAATGTTTTCACAATTAAAAAAACCTTCCGTTTAGAAGCTTTTTGATATTTTGTTGTGCAAGCAATGTGTACCCTGTCTTTTCACTTGGAATAAAAAATTCTTGACTTTAAGGGTATATAGTGATTTCACATTGGGTTTTTTTGCATTTATTGTATGATATTAGGGTTCGGGTTTTTTTACATTTATTGTATGATATTAGGGGTGATTTGATAATTTAATTAATAAACAAATAAAAAATATTATTTTTAAATGATTTGTGTGACCACTCCTTATGAAAAACAATTTTGTGAAGAAATAGTTAAAATTAAAATTTTTTAAGATTTTTTATATTTTTATTTTTAAATCATTAATATTAAAATAAAAAAATATTATTTAATAAATTTCTAAATAAAAATCATTCTTACCACTTTTTCTAAATACCCTCTTTACTACTATTCTCCACCGGCAAAGAAGTCTCACGGGGTCGTGTTCTTCTCTGGCTACAGAACCCTGCATGCCTCTTGCCCTCCCTTTTATGTTTTTGTTTCGTCGAACGTACGCACACACGCTCGCTGTTGTCCTCGGAGTCCAACAAGATAACGTTGAAAAGACACTCTTAACCTAAAAGAATAAATCCCTAGAATCTACTCCTGACTCTTGACCTTCATTTAATTATTATCTCATAATTCTTTTTCACTCTCTGTATATCACGCACATTCACAGACGGACTTAGACAGGCTGAGTATATTAGTTGTTCCCATAAACACAAAAGGATTTCAGTGGATTCCCTGTTTTTTCTTTTAATCTTAAATAAATAAAATTCTCAAAATTCTTGAAGAATCACTAAACTAGGCAAGCAAAAAGTTCCCTTTCTTTCTTTCTGGGTTTTATTAGGGCTTTCACGTTTATTGTGTTTATAATCTCTGGTCCTCCTCTTTTCTTTTCATGATTTATCCATTAAAAATCTTTGATCACGATAATTGCACACCACCCTTCTTTCTTTCTTTCTTTTGCTTATTGCTAGAGTTAATTGGTACTATTATTTGTCGATTATGGATACTGCAATGCCAGACCATGATCCTCTCAAGAGAAGCTTTGGTGACATGATGATCAACAACAACAGCTCTTCGAGCTGTCTTGCTATGGATACTTCCAATGGTATTTCTGATCATAATGACACCACCCCACAAGGACTAGCTTCTGTTCTTAGTAATCATAAGGAGTTTTATCCTAGAGGGTTTGTCAAAGTTCCTTTCTTTCTTTGATGGTTTGAATTTTTCTGTAATTACTCAGATTTTCTCGAAGAAAAATTTCATGGTTTTTTTCCCCTTACAATGTGGTTTTGTTTATGCATGTTTTGGTGACTGTAGGTATCAATCAAAGGTTTTTGAGGTGGCTGATAAGAGGAATACAATTGCTGTGCTGGAAACAGGAGCTGGAAAGACAATGATTGCTGTTATGTTAATTAAACAGATTGGTCAAGCTGTCTTTTACAGTGGTGTTAAGAGATTGATTCTTTTCTTAGCCCCAACAGTTCATCTTGTTAATCAGGCATGTTGTTCTTTTTAATAAATCAATCTCTCCTTTTCTCCTTAATAAGCGAATTCTCTGTAAATGTTAATTTGCTAATCATGTTTTTCTCAATATAAAAAGGTTTTTTTTTTTTTCCAGTGCTGTTTTATAGTTATTTTCCCTCTCTTCTTTTCTGGATATAAAATCTGGCTGATCTATTGATTCACAAGTCGAAATTAAGGGGGTTTTGTGCTTGCAGCAATATGAAGTCATTAAATCTCAAACAAATTTTAGAGTGGGAGAGTACTATGGAGCTAAGGGAATAGATGAGTGGTCTCTGAAGTCCTGGGAGAAGGAAATTGATGAGCACGATGTGAGTAGGAATTTTTCTGTAGATTGAATATCTCTGTTTCCATATATTATGTATGTTCTAACAGTTTCCTTTTTGGGCTGCTTGTTTTAATGGTCTTGGTTTATGCACTTCGTGCATTTAATAAAACCAAGAAGAAACAAATATCTCTCATTTTTCAAATGTCGGTTATGCTGTAACCATCTTTATCTGCAGTTCTTTGGTCCTGCAATTTTTTGCTAGATTAAGTTTTCATTTATGCAAAAGTTAATTGTACTTTGGACTTCATTCTTATATTTAGACAGTAGATTAAACTAGCGGTATTAGAGGACAATAAATGGCTTTACTTATGAAAGAGACAATATTCTTTGGGTTATCATCTGTGTTCAAATATGTTTAATCTTGGTTTGCTGCTGGTAGAGCTTCATTAATGCATGTCTTTTCTTCTTACCTTGTAGGTGTTGGTTATGACACCCCAGATCCTCTTGGATGCCTTAAGAAAGGCATTTTTGAATCTAAAAATGGTATCCTTGTTAATACTTGACGAGTGTCATCGTTCCACCGGTAACCATCCTTACAAGAAAATTATGAAGGTTGATATCCTATAATTTGCTTCAAATTTTGTTGTTTTTTTCATTTAATTCTTTCTATAGTCACGATTCCTCTTCTTAATGTTAGAGTAAAAATAATTTTGATAGTTATTATTGTTTGGTGAAGGATTTCTATCACAAAATGGAGAATAAGCCAAAGGTTTTTGGAATGACAGCATCTCCTGTAGTTAGAAAAGGTAAGAGAACTTGTGGCATTATGGAGGGTTTGAAATTTAGTAACTGTTTGAGTGCATAAATTTATTTAGATCTTTTATTTGACATTATTACGATCTTATTTGCCCCCTGCCACCACTCATTGGCACTTGATACTTTCAAATGTCACCAGGACAAGATGGCACCATCACTGATCAGTTTGCAACTCAAACTTCCTTTCTTTCTCTGGTCTGCCTTGATGGCAGTTGATTTTGCTTATATCTGTTTTGTTTTTCCATGGAAAAGAATAGTCTTCACACTTGTTGGCCAAAATGCAATAAGCAGAGAGGTATTCTTAATTAGAAGTTCAGTTTTATAGGTGTGTTAACTGGAGACAGATGTTGTATTTTTCAAATTAGCTGAATTACGTAAACAGTCAATACCCATGAAGAGAATATTTGGTATGTGTTTAACCTTACCGTGTGTAGCCATTTATTATTTGCAAAACTTCCTTCTTCCTTCTTCCTCTGATCATGTTCATCTTCTTAAAAACCTTTTCTTTGTGTTTGCTTGTATGCTGCTTGCTTATTTTCATCTTTTGATTTCTAGATTTAGTCCAATCCTAACCTATTGCATGCATTTCTTATATAATTTTTAAAAATTTTTCATTAGGTGTCTCGTCTGCCATGGACTGTGAGGATCAACTAGCAGAACTTGAGAGTGTATTGGATTCTCAGGTGCTTTTAATTTTAATTTTTTTCCTATGATGGTCATGCAGTCAAACTTAATTCTTATTCACAGAAGCACAACTGAGATAGACTTGCATTAGTTTGTCTTATTTCATTTTTTTCTGGGGATATGCATGCTTCTCATTTTATTTCCTAATTTGTCTAGATTTATTGCTTATATAAGAATCTCATCCCTATTGTTTTGGGATGCTGCTGTTTTAGCAAGTGTGAAGTCCTGAGAACTGGTTATGAAATCTGCTTCTATGTTATCTTTCTTCTTGGTCTTTCCCCTTTTTTTTCAGTGCAACAACCCCCCCCCCCCCCCCCCACC